CATGACGTCAGTTAATGAAAACATGGACTGACCTCAGGTACAGACACAGACACACACTCTGAGCTGTTGTCTTCAAACGTGAACACTTTCTGAGCTATGCTAGCTCCGTTAGCTTCGTTAGCTTCGTTAGCTCCGTTAGCTTCGTTAGCTCCATCGATCCATCGCTGTGTGAAACATTCGTCACTCATTATTCTGTTCTAACGTCATCAGCAGACTTTTGGTCTATTTCCTGTTTCCGCGTCGATCCGGGCACTGGGTGGCCGGTCAACAGCCAATCAAAACGAAGTATACGAAGCATTCCCTGGCGGGAAGGCACATTCCACCCGCAGGCCAATCAACGCTTTGCTTCCTGAGCCACTGCAGCCAATGAGGTTTGTACTCTGCCACATGGGCGTGTCCGTCAGTAGCAGAAGCATCGTGTGTGCATGCAGCTAGCTTCTGTTGTTAGCTGCAGCTAGCTGCTGTTGTTAGCACTTTATCATTAAAGAGTCACACTCCTCTTCTCTGTGTTGGGTGAACCAGGTGTAACCAGGTGTAACCAGGTGCAAACAGGTGCAACCAGGTGAAGCTGAGCGGGGAGAGCAGCGCGGTTAACCGGCGACCAGCGCAGGCTAGTGGATGTGATTGTGTGGTAGCCCCGGGTTAGCTCGATAGCTAGCTGAGCCAGCGACAAAAGCCAAGAGGAGGAATGAACCATAAGAGTAAAAAGAGGATTAAAGAGGCGAAGCGGAGCGCCAGGCCCGAGCTGAAGGACTCGTTAGACTGGATAAAACACGGTTATCACGAGACGTTCGACCTGTCGCACCGAACCGTCAAGGTAACTGTCAGTGGAGCCCCGGAGGCTAAGCTAACAGCTAAGCTAACAGCAGGACTGCAGCTGGTCACGTAGACACCGGGAGGAGCTGCCGGTGTCTCGTGTCAGACCCTGAAGCTCGTTCACCTGCTCACAGTCAAATACTTTACAAACGCACTCAGCTCACAGTGTTGATATGTTGTTAACATGTTGACATGTTGTTAACATGTTGTTGACATGTTGTTGATATGTTGTTAACATGTTGTTGACATGTTGTTGATAACTAGTGACGATTGAATGTGTTCATCACATTAAACCAGTTCATACACTGATTTATATCTGCATCATCAAATGGAATGTGAAATACAAACAAGTACATTTACCAAAGTACTTCACTTCATAGAATTGTAAATACTCGTATTTACTTAAATTGAGTTTATTAATTTATTTGGTCGAACGTGGTGCATGAAGCCTTCGACGTGTTTTTGCTGCAGGGATGGATTCACTTCTTTTCACCTTAAAACTAAAGCAGAACTTTTTAAAGAGAGCTCCAGGTGACGGTTACTCCTGTCAATCACAAACCAACATGACCTCAGCAGCAATTCTACATAAAAAGTAGTTCATGTGCTGCAGTGTTCACATTGAAATAAATATCCATTTCAATATCCCAACAGCTGCAGATACAATTTGAACTCTAGGTTTGTATCTTAGTCACATGTTTGCAGTGATTAGATAAGATCTTTTGTTTTCTGCAGCCTGACTCGAGCTGTATTCAGCCTCAGTTTGTGCTCCCTCATTGTGGACCAGTAAACCGATGTATGCTGTGTTTCAGGACAACGTAGAGCGTGTGGACACCCTCCATCTCAGTCCTGAAGACTTCATCCGGCGCTTCGAGCGCCCCTACAAGCCCGTCGTCCTGCAGAACTGCCAGGAGAGCTGGCCCGCCAGAGAAAAATGGACTCTGGAGCGACTCAAGCGCAAATACCGCAACCAGAAGTTCAAGTGCGGGGAAGACAACGACGGCTACTCTGTGAAGATGAAAATGAAGTACTACATGGAGTACCTGGAGAACACCAGGGATGACAGCCCACTCTACATCTTTGACAGCAGCTACGGTGAACACGCCAAACGCCGGAAGCTGTTGGAGGACTACCAGGTCCCCGTCTTCTTCAGGGACGACCTCTTCCAGTTTGCAGGAGAGAAACGCAGACCGCCGTACAGGTTCGTTAACTCTTTAATCTGTCCACATTAATATTTATTATCAAAGACATTAACGTTAATGTGGACAATTATAGATATATAAAATTAAATATATGAAACAAAAACACATTTATACAGACACAAGAATTACCCTAAAAGAAACCACAGTAGAAATGGTCCTCCAGTGTCTACGTTGGTATTTTTACTTCCTGTGATGTCATTTCCTGGAGAATCTTCAGATGCTTCTTATCTCTAAAATGTGAACAACCTGTTCTCAGAAGGTTTAAAGCATTAAACTCACTTTCCTACAAAGATGACGATGATAAAAAGTGTGGAATTTAAGTAAAGTCTACTTAAATCTAATGAAATCTGTTACATCTGGGATAAAGTGTGAAAACGGTTTCCTCCACCACAGATGGTTTGTGATGGGCCCGGCTCGCTCGGGCACAGGAATTCACATCGACCCCCTGGGCACCAGCGCGTGGAACGCCTTGGTCCAGGGTCACAAGAGGTGGTGTCTGTTCCCCACCAACACGCCCCGAGAGCTGATCAAAGTGACCCGGGAGGACGGAGGCAACCAGCAGGACGAGGCCATCACCTGGTTCAATGTGGTTTATCCTCGAACGCAGCAGCCGAACTGGCCTCCAGAATTCACGCCGCTGGAGATCCTCCAAAAACCCGGGGAGACGGTTTTTGTGCCTGGTCAGTGAAGAAACACAGTTTTCTGTCTCCATCATTATTTAAACTCTGATCTCCTGCAGTCACATGATCTGTGGGTTTAGTAATAAAACTTTGAAGAGACGTTGCTGTGGGTCAGAACCTTGTATTTTCTCAGGAGCTCAGCACCTGCGTGACCTAACAGGCGTGTTGACTGCATGGACAGCAACATGTGACAACATGCAATGACACGGATGTGGCCTAGATTCACTTAATGCCAACAGAGCTAATGTGATGAGGACGGATTAAACCCTCAGCTGCTCCTCGGGCCTGGTTCCAGGATTTAGACTTCACCTGTGTGACTGTAGATTAGACCTTGGTCACAGTGAGGACAACACCTTGTTTCCATCTGAGTCAGTTCACTTTCTTTGAATAATTAAAAACAGCTTTATGTTTTAAAGACCGATGTTTGCAATTTCACTCACCAACAAAGTGAATGTACATACGACCTTTTTCATAATCAGTGTTTAAAAGTCTTTATTTAAAAAAGGCTGGTTTGTTTCAGAGCTTCAGTCTGAAGCTGAACATCAGGTGTGAAAGGTTCCTCAGCCCAGAAGAGGAGTTCTCATAGAAGAAGAAGCAGCAGCTGCAGTGTTCACCTCTGATGATATATAATGTTTGAACCACGAGGTCTGGTGGTTCTGATGGTCTGGTGCATTTGAACGAGTTGAACTATGGATGTTTTATTTATAAACAGATGCTTTTTACCTCTTGCACGTTTCAGCCTGAACCAACAAAGTATGAAGCGGCTCTAAATGTCAGATTTGATTTGTTATTAATGTCGTGATCGGTCATGTCTGATATCCAGTCAGTGGATCTATTTTCCTCTGATGTTAATGGTAACTAGCTGTGTGTCCGCAGGTGGGTGGTGGCACGTTGTCCTCAACATGGACACAACAATCGCCGTCACTCAGAACTTCGCAAGCACAACCAACTTCCCCATCGTGTGGCACAAAACTGTGCGAGGACGACCCAAGCTGTCCAGGAAGTGGTATCGGTAAGTTTCTCAGAGTCACAGTAATAAAAACAACACCCTATGTGGGCGTGAAGCATCTCACACCCACTTCTTCAAAACCGGTTACTTCTGGTTTCAAAAAAACCAAGATGGCGCCGGAAGAAATGTCAAAATGAGGCTTCAAAACAGCAGCTTACAAACCAACAGGTGACGTCACAGTGCATTGATACTTGAACTGTTTACACACATGAACTCTGGACATGTTGTGTAGTCGTTCACAACAACAGGAACAATTGACATACAGAAGCTCCAGAACGCGTCAGGAACGTGTCAGGAACGTGTCTGAAAGCAGCCTCGGTGTAATAAAAACAGTGATGAGTTTAAAAAGTACAGTTTGAGTACGTCTCCTGATTCTTCCTGTTACATCAGAAGTCGTATGATTGAACAGCCTGACAGAGTTTGTTGTTTTGTTTTGTTGCAGCATTCTGAAGCAGGAGCGGCCGGACCTGGCGGTGTTGGCAGACAAAGTTGACCTGCAGGAGTCGACCGGCATTGCGTCAGACAGCTCCAGTGACTCTTCATCATCGTCCTCCTCCAGCTCGTCCGACTCCGATGTATGTGCTAGAACACACACAGATTACTGAGACCAGGACTAGTTATTGGACACAGAAGACCCAGAGGACATGACTAGATTTTGCCTTATTTTAAAGATTAAATCTAAATCAAATGAAGAAACTAATGGAAACACAAGGTTTTGGATCTGACAGTAAAGTTGAATTTGCATAATTTAGAAAATAAATAGGACGAGACGTTGGATCTGAAGTTGAGTCTGAACACTGTTCCAGTCCCACACAGGCCCCATCAGTCATGTCAGCAGGGTCTGAAGTTAGTGAAGCCAACAGGTGTTAACATGTGACACACGTGTCCCGTCGCTGTAACCCAGCACGTCTTTAACATGTTGTAACAGTGTGTCCGTACACTGTGTTCCCGCAGGCAGAGTCTGGCTCTGAGGGCGACGCCATGTCCCACCGCAGGAAGAAGAGACGCACCTGCGGGATGACAGCCAACGGAGACACTAGTGGTCAGGACGACTGCGTCAGCAAGGAGAGGAGCTCGTCACGGTGACCTACCGCCTCCGTCCACTCGCACCCCTGTGACTCCTTCTCCGGCCGCTTCATGTTTAGTGTCTGAATCCCAGAGCGACAGCCATCTGGCTGCCTTTACAGACAAGATGGCTGCCGCGGAGCAGCAAGGTGTAGATGAAGGAGGAGGATGGACACCTGCCACCATTGTGCTTTAAACACCAATCGCGATTTTGTGTCTCTGATGCGTGAAGACGAATTCTAGCCAATCACAGACGGTTTTGGTTTGGTGGGTGGGTCTTTAAAACTCAGCCGTTTCCTTATGTGAGCTTGTGCTAATATGGAGAAATGGTTCCTGAGGGTCTTGTTTAAGAATTTCATTTGTTCAGAAGTTAAAGTTTAAGCTTCTGCTGGTTAATTCTCTGAACGGGTTCTCATCCAGATTATCTGTGCACGGAAAACTTTATTAAACTTAACAGGAAACAGTTCGTTAACGATGACGTCACAGCAGCAAGTGAAAATCCTGATCAGAGAATCTGCAGCTCATGAAAAGTCTTTTTTTTTTCCTTCAATAGGCAAAAAAAAGACTTGAAGATTTAAAAAACTTAAATTGATTTGACAATAAATATTTTCTGTCGCTCGTTCGGATCAGTTATTGTTTGATGCTGCAGGAACGTACAGAATAATTTTAATCTCAGACTTATTGTCTCTGCTGGTTTTTCAATCCAGCACTTGAAGCCTGACTGAACCTGGGAGTTAGATTCTACTCAGTCTGACGATACAAGATTTTAAAAGTTAATAAAAGAATTCATCGCTTCATGGTTGAGGAGCAAAAACAATAAACTCATCTTCAATCAAGTTAATGATAAAACTACTTCAGAGAGAAACGTTAAAAGATTTGAAGAACAACAGTAAAGTCAAAACAAGTCAAATGATGACGTCATCCCAGTAGTTTCTACCAGTCAAGTTGGACGACAAAGTGAAGCCAAAGCCTCTATTGCCTCCTGGTGGCTGGCTGAAGTACAGGTCATTAACCTCCTCCATGTTAGCAGATGGGACATGAACCAAACTAAAAACTCAAAATAGAAGTTAAAAAATTTATAGCTATGTATTGTTAATTATAATTATCACCTCTGATCTCACTGATGATTGTTCAAGTGTTTCTGATCAGTTTGGTCAACAGGCTGAGACGTCATGATTGACAGCTGACACTGACTCCTGATTGGTTGAGAGCGACTTTATTCTCAAACGTTTTTTTTCTTCGGTATGAAATCTTCAAATTAAATTTTCTTTTGTAAAACAGATTCATTCTGTTTGATTACAGAATGAATCTGCAATCAAACCAACTGTTCAAATACAAAGTCAGAATCCTTAAGTGTAAAACGTGACGTCATCAACAGTCTGAACCAGAGGAAGCTTAAATGATTAATTGATTAATGATTAATTAAGATGGTTCGTGTTGCACGTGCTGGTGATGTCGTTTCTGTGGCTTTAGACTGAAGTGCCTCTACAGTTAGTTGTGGGTCTGTGTTTTAGTTTCCATCCTGTTGGACTGAAGGCAGTGATCTGCCGGGCTCGTCACACGGTGCCTTCCATCGGTGTTGTGGTGAAGGTCTGTCTGGGACGAGGTTTTACTGAAAGTGGGTTTATTGTGAAGCTGCGGGTTGATGTTGATGTGAGGATGAGACCCGGCTGTGACCAATAAAATCTTTTCTAATGACTTGAACCAGTGTCACGTTGTTTCCAGGGACGTTTTGTCAAATGATCTGTTTTAATTAATTTCTTTTTTGACTGTTTTTCTTTAATCAGCCTTTTTGTTTTGCTGTAGCTGCTTTTATTGTGGAGGGGAGGCGGATGTGTGTGTTGTCAGATCAGCTGTGAGTGTGTGTGTGTGACAGCAGCGGGATACACACACACTCACACACACTCACACACACTCAGTCACACTCACTCTCCTGGAAACACCGGTCACCGCTCCGGTCGCTGCTCCGGTCACTGCTCCCGTTAATCCGCCGTCATGGACCTGGACCCCACCGTCGTGATTCCCGCCATCCTCTTCACGGTCGTCGCCATTTATTTCGCCTCGTCGCTCCTCAGTAAAAAGTCCGCCGCCGCCGCCGCCGCCGCCGCTGCCGCCCGGAACAAGAAGCCCAAAGTCGGCTACGGAGACGACGTCCCTCCGTCCCGAGCTCTGGGGGAGCAGCTCCGACCCGAAGTCTCCCCGCGGACAGAGCCTCCTGCTCCGGCTGAGGGGATCCCGGACGTCCCGGTGAAGGTCAGTTTATTTCAAATGGGATTTGTCATCAAACTTAGTTTCTCTGATAAAACTCTTTATTTATTTTTTAATGAGATGCACATCTGGAAGTCAAGTGAATTTACAAAATGACTCCCATTTATTTAAGATGTTTTATAATCGATGTGCAGCTCAGTATTGATTCATATTTAGAGATTACCCGATCAATTAACTGAAAGTCATAATTTCCCCACAAACCTGAGATGAATCAATTCCTCGAAGTCTTTTAAACTAAATGATAAAAGCTGATTCACTTCAGGTCCAATTCTATTGAGCTGTATTTGTATCAGGACGTGTGTTGGCAGTGAAGAGCGTTGATTGGTTGAGTCCTCCAGGTTCACTCACACTAAGTTTGAGTTGTGTTCAGATGTTGTTGGTCTGAGAGCTGCAGATACAAGTTCCCAGTGAGTCTATGTTCAGTCATGTTGTCTCAGTAAAGACACTGATTATTAAACATCTTCAATAAATACATGAATTATTTAATTCAAGCAGAAACATTTTCTGTGAATTGATGTTCGACTTGAGTCAGAAATGTTTTGTTCACAACATCTCGCCTGATGTGTTTTCTTCAAGCTCATGTCTGCGTCCACACTGATGCATCATGGTCCCACCTGGTGTCCGCACATCTCCGGCTTCAGTTTACTTTGAAAACTCCAGGTTTGCTCGTTCACACCTGGTTTGTCTCAGACCAGAACGTGTTCTGGATCAAACTGAACCATGGTTCTGTACCGCATGAAGCTCCATTCATTTCCTCCATTCAAACTGAACGACACACGCCATCCACAAACCAATCAGAGTCAAGTATAGGTAGACTCCGCCCACGCAGGTGAGGAGGACAGGATGTACGTATGTGAGACAAAATTCTTTAGCCCCTGAATTACAATGTGAAACTAAAACCAACAGATGAAACATGAACACATGAAGCTCGGTTCAAACCCCCCCTGGTGTCTGGACATAGTTAGTCCTGAGACGTCCTGGATCTGTTTGACCTTTGTCCACTTCGAGCTGCGTCCTTTAAAAAGCCTGAGGAATGTGCTGCTGCTAAACATGCGTCGGATACATGGATCCTATATTTACACATGTTCGCGGTGTCACATGTCTGATATGGACTGTGGGGCAGCTGGGACACCACGCCGGGCTGGCTGATTGTCCCACAGTGGACAAGTCTCTGATTGTTGACCTGCCCTGAAGTCGCTGTGAGGTTCCTTAGCGGATCAATAATCCTCCGACTGATGGACTCAGTGTTTTGAACGTTCTCATGATGGTTCAGAAACAGCCTCTCAGTGATGGACCCCACGACACGCTGTGCTGTCACTCGTCTCACACGTTGGTCTGAGCCAAATATAAAACTTCAGCCACGCCCTCCTCCTCCTCACTGACAACCTTATCCAACACTTCAGCCCTCAGCTGTCTTCAGCCGCCGCACTGCATCATGGTACATTCTGACCACATAAAGGACGTCTGTGTGTTTGTGAGCGTGTGCGGCTGAAACACAGTGAGACTTGTTGTTTAACGACGTACAGCATCAACGCCACTGTCCCATCATGCATTCTGCTTCAACCTCTGACCTCCGCAGGAGAAATGTTCCTCCAGCGTCGACGTCGTTACTTTTACTTCCTGTGCATTTCAAATATAAACCTCCGCTAACAGGTTCTGTAAATCAATAAACTATAATAATCATAAATGACTGAAAGTGTGTTAGAAATTTCATCAAAACAAAAATCTGACAAAAACATATTGATCCTAAAGATTCTAAATGTAGAAACAGAACTAAATGTTTATTAACTTTCCACAAGTTATCTGAACGATGAACGTTTTCCTCTGCTTCTCTCCCGACACTCTTTAGCGCCACCGTGAGTTAGCAACATGTTTTTCACCACATGTGACGAAACGTAATGATGTCATCATGAGCTACAACACGATGACGTAGAAAACAGAAAAAAAAGAATGAATGTTATAAATATTATAATTTTAGATTTGAACAGGCTCATGGGGGCCACCAGCAGGGGGAGCTGTGTTCAGAGGGACTGGCTGAGCTGGTTGTTCACCGTATTTTATTTGAACTGAGAATGATGTTTTTAATCTGTGCCAGTGACGGATCGCAGAAGAAGAGATTTAAACTTATGTGAGGAAGGTTCCCGTCACCTCACGTAAAGTTTTGATCCGTATTCAGTTAGCTAATGAGCTAATGAGCTAATGAGCTAATCCATCGCTGCTGTTATCAACGTGTGGTGAAACAAAAACGAGCTGAAGTGTCTCGTGTTTCCTGCAGCGTCAGATTCTCCATGTTTGAAGTTGAGCTGTTTGCTGAAGCAGTAACTTTATTTCTGTCCAGAACAAAGTGAACCAACGTCCACGTGTGGGACCTGAAGGTGGCTTAGTTAGAACTCAGTTATCATCAGTTAACGAGAAACGACTTCATCATATTCAAATCAAAGTGTAATCATCTAATCCTCAATATTTTAGCCTGATTGTATAATTCTGATTACATGTCATCTATTACTAACCAGCTCTGCACAGACTTCATGTGTCAGCGTTTATTTACGTCATCAGGGTTTATTGCTCATACGTTTATATATATACACCAGAAATGAGCTGCATACATATAGAAAGATAACGAATAGCATCAACACTAAATATCTCAATGTTGCACAACCCTCAGCAGCAGAGTCCAGTTTGGCTCTTTGACATTTATGTTGTTAGCATGTTGTCCTGTTCCGTCTTCTAGAGTTACAGTCTGCCCCCCCCCCCCCGGCTGTTTGAGCTGATCTGGTTGAGCTGATCTGTTTCACTCAGACTCACCATGAGTTCTGACTCTTCACCGTTCTTCTCTCGTTCTTTGGAACTGACTCACTGAGTCGCTGATGTCGGTTCGGCTCCATATATGGAAACATGAGTGTGTGTTGGAGGCAGCTGATCTCACATCTGCATCTTTATCACGTTCCACATCTCCGAGATAAATAAAGAACAACAGCAGCAAAGTGTTTGTGTCGTGACTCCAACATGTGATGCTGTGTGTCTCAACTTAATTTGTCATGTTTCCAAAGTGTGTTATGAGGAACCTGTGGGGGACATCAGGAGACGTGACGTAAACATTCTGCTGTGGAAAGTTCCTCCTCACCTGAGTCTTATTCTCTATTTGTCAGAATGATCATTTATATTGACGAGGACGAAGAGTGTGAAGGAGACAGTGTCTTCACGTCAGTCTCTGTAGCGCTGGACGTCAGACAGAAGCTTCAGAACAGAGAGTCCTGTCGTGGATTGAATAAACGAGGCGACGCCACAGAGCTGAAGTGGAGACGAGGCCGAGAGCAGAGGGAACAATGAGTCTGTTTGATAGAAGCTCCGCCTCAACCGCAGTGTGTTCACGCTGCGACGCCTCAAACCAGAAATCTCTGGTCAAATGAGGTCGATAACGTCTCAGTGTGACGTCTCTGTCTTTACCTGAAGGAGACGTGTCAGAAACTAAACAACCAGTTCACTCAAAGGTCACGGAGACGTTCACTTTTATAGTTTAGCGTACGTCATGTGATGATGTCATCATCAGGAGAGCTCACGATGCCGGGGTCCGTGGTCTCCGGCCTCAGGCTCTTCCACTGGAAGCACTTCCTGTTCAGGGTTTGCTCAGGTGCTTCACGGGACGTAGCAGTGACGTAGCTAAACAGCTTTAATGAGCGAAGCTCCGTGTAACGTCAGAGCGAGATATTTTTACCAGGACGTGTTGTCACAGGTCAGAACGAGCGCGATGACTCAGACTAATCTAGAGCTTATTTCTGAAGTGCTTCATTTGTGTGTGTGTGTGTGTGTGTGTGTGTGTGTGTGTGTGTGTGTGTGTGTGTGTGTGTGTGTGTGTGTG